CACATCAAGGTGTCATTTATTGATGTGTTGATGAAAATGTAACCAAAGGCTCATAGGAACCTGTTTATTTTCCCTAGGGGCAGTGGTTTAGTGTTTGCTAATTTGATGCTTGAGTGGACTTTATAGAACGTAACTATTTCACATAATGAGAATAGACCCTGCAGTCAGCCCTTTATATCTGTGGGTTTCACATCTGCAGATTCAGCCAACCTCAGATCAAAATATTTGAAAAGAAAAAACAATAAAAATTACAATTTAAAAACACATTAAAAAACCGATGCAGTATAACAGTTATTAACAGCATTTACATTGCATTTGGTATTATAAATAATATAGAGATGGTTTGAAGTATACAGGAGGTTGTGCATGGGTTACATGCAAATGGTATGCAATTTCGTAGGGGATTTGAGTATCCACGGATTTTGGTAACCATGGTGATTCTGGAACTAATCCCCCCAGGACACTGAGAGATAAATGTACTTCTTAAGGGATTATTTAAAATTACAATGACATATTCTTTAAAGTAAATGATTATTTGAGATCAGGTGATTAATAAATTTGGGGTAGTTGAGAAGAGGAAGGAAATTATTTACATGTATACAGAAACCTTGAAAGCTGGCGAAGCAGGAAGCATGTTTAGTTAGCATTGCTGCCTAACAAAGTCTTTAGATTTTTATGTAGACGCTAGGCATATTGAAGAAAACTAAGTCATGCCCACAGTTTTCTCCCAACCAAAGGAGTCTTTCATTGCCAGGGCACAGGCTGAGAAAAATAAGGGGACAGATTACTGAAAATACTTGCCTTTCTTATCATTGAATGACAGGGCATAATTATTAGTGGGGATGAAAGAAATGATTTCTAGAATAAACCATTACTTCTAGATTATATTTTTTATTTTTTTGAGACGGAGTCTTGGTCTGTTGCCCAGGCTGGAGAGAAGTGGTGTAATCTCAGCTCACTGCAACCTTTGCCTCCCAGCTTCAAGTGATTCTCATGCCTTAGCCTCCCAACTGGCTGAGATTACAGGCATGCACCACCAATGTATTTTTATTAGACACAGGGCTTTGCCATGTTGGCCAGGCTGGTGTCGAACTCCCAACCTCAGGTGATTCGCCCACCTCAACTTCCCAATGTGCTGGGATTACAGGCATGAGTCACTGCATTCGGCCATTACTTCTAGATTGTTAATGACAACAACATAGATTTGTGTATAGTGAGAGGCACTGTTGTGTAATTAATTTCTTTGCCTTCTTAGTACTTGATAACACTCTGACATCACAGCATATATAACACTAAAATAGTAAAGCAAAGGTCCTCAGTGGACCACTAATAGCAGTGTTTGTGATCTGGCTCTGTCCCATGGCACAGACTTATAGTAGATAGTAATATGCTGAAGAAACTCATGAAAAACTCTTAAATGGTCAGCTTATTTATTTATTTATACATTGTTTCTTTTAATCTATAAGTATATGCACATGGTTAAACAAAAATTCCTGAAAGGTCTAATAATTAAAAATAAATGAGCCCTATCCTACCCACCTCATTCTTCCTGAACACATTCTCTTTTTAAATATTAGTTATTTCTTGTTATTTACCTCCTCATTATTATTATTATTATTATTATTATTATCATTATCTTGAGACAGAGTCTCAGTCTGTTGCCCAGGCTGGAGTGCAGTGGTGCGATCCTGGCTCACTGCAACCTCCGTCTCCCCACTTAGGTGATTCTCCTGCCTCAGCCTCCTGAGTAGCTGGGATTACAGGTGCGCAGCAGCATGCCTGGCTAATTTTTGTATTTTAGTAGAGATGGGGTTTCACCATGTTGGTCAGGCTGGTCTCAAACTCCTGACCTTGTGATCCACCTGCCTTGGCCTCCCAAAGTGCTGGGATTACAGGCCTGAGCCACTGAGCCTGGCTGATTACCTCCATATTACTAAAAAGTATACATAACGATGCTATTTCTTTGATATATCAGTTTTAGATCATATTTATTTTCTGCCACGATATATGAGTTTACACCCGTTCCTTGGTCCTTTATGCTCTCAGTATGGTTATAGCACCATCATGTTCTTCAGCTCTGGTACTTTTTTTTTGTTTATTCTGTTTTCTCTCTGGAATCCTTATTTTTTTTAAGAAATTGGCACTCCTGGATTGTTCTGTGTTCCTTTTTTTTCATATTTTCCTTTTTCTGAATGCTTTGTTTTTCTATCCTTTCTATGCTTTTTTTCATTTCAGCAAATGTTTGTTGCTTTCTTAATTTTCGGATAATCCTTTTCTATGAAAATTAGATTTTCTACCATATTCTTCAATTTTAATGTGCATTAGAGTTTTGTGTAAAAGTTTTCTTCCATTGTGTGCATGATTTCTGTTTTTCTCTGGATTCATTTTGTATGTGTGTATTCTTTCTGTTTTTGTCTGTTTCTCCTCTTGGAGGCTTTCTTAGTGTAGTGTTTTTGGTTGTGCTCTGTAGTTCCGAATGAGTTATCAAACTGCAGGTTGGGAATTCTGTGCGTAATCAGGCTTCTGACTGGAGACCTTCACTTCAGGCAGTGTTTTTCAACCTTTTTTCGTTATCATTATCTGAAGAAGCATATTTAGATACTTTTCCCCTAATCTCTGCTCTTCCCAGTACCCCATGAAGATTTAATACTACGAGATATACTCTGTGTCTGATTATATACTCTGAAAGATACAAATGTCAGGAAGGGTTTTGAAAAAGTCATTCTGGGCCATTCAACTGCTGTATTTGCTCTCTCCTGTCTGTAGTCATTTTCTGGGGAAGCAGAGAGGAGGTAGGGAGCTGCCATCCATTTATGGACTTTGAATTAGTCTCCCAGTTTTCAGTACTCTTTCTTAACTCCCGCCATGACTTTGCCAAGAATTTGTGAGTCTTGAGCCTCTTCTTGTTTTAGGGGGCCAAATTAGCTCCCCTTTGTCCATGTCTCCCTCTGTGATACTGTAACCTTGTAACTTTCTCTATTCTGCTACTTCAGTCACAATTCCACCCTATGTTTTGTCTTCCAGAATTTCGTGAAATCCCTAATTTTAATTTTCAGTAATAGTTCCTTTCCAGTTTTTTTTTTTTTTTTCGTTCATTCATTAACTTTTTAAATAATAGAGACAGGATCTTGCTATGTTCCCCAGGCTAGTTTCGAACTCTGGGCTTAAGCAATCATCCTGCCTCAGTTTCCCAGCGTGCTGGGATTACAGGTGTGAGCCACCACACCCAACGAGATCCTCTCTAATTCTGTGTGTTGCACTGGTTTATCCGTTTTCAAATGTTTAGGTGGTATTGAGTTGGGGCTTCAGACACTGAAGAGAGGATAAATATTTGTCTTCAGTTTCCCATCATATCTGGACATCCGTAATAAGCTTTAAAAACAAACATTTTCATATATCCCTAGTTTGTATTCTAGTTGTATTTGCTCTATAAAATACCTTTCTGTTTATTTAAAACTTCTTTTTAATGATTGTATGTTCTACAAGGAGCTCATTAAAATGACCTGTTTTTATTGCTTCTATCCATTGTAATATATCATATTTATATTGTTTCAGATTCAACGAAACTTTAGAGGCAAGATAATTCTTTTCCTTTTTTGGCTCCTAGGTGTTAGACAATTATACTGAGGTTGGTATTAGAATTTGTGGAAATCTCAGAGAACTTTATAGAGTAGTATTGTACAATACAATCTCGGCTGTCAGCCACATGTGGCTGTTTAACTTAATTGAAATAAATTCACTTCCTTAATCATACTGGTCACATGTCATGTGTTCAGTAACCACATACAGCTAGTGGCTACCATTTCACAAAGTGAAGGTTTCCATCATTGCCAGGCTCTACTAGACAGCACTGTTTTAAAAAGTAGAAAGTAGGACACCATTCTGTAGTGTCTGCAAGATTGACTAGTTTCTTAAGCCTCAGGCTTTTTCAGGATTTTCTTAGTCTAGTGAGTGTATAGGGCTTTGTTGAACAGATAATGATGTAAAAAGAAAGTAATTAGCATCTTAAAAGTATGCTTTGAAGCCTTCAGGAGAAAGTACAATTCACAGGACTAGCTATTGTGTAAATTAGTCCAAGAGACAACCAAGAAGTCACTATACTAATTGTGTGATAATCTTTTCTTTTGTTGATTCAAGGAAACACACTGTAGAAGGTTGAGAGAGTCATAAAATATAACATGAATGAATGTATAGTGCTCTCACTGTCCTTAAGAATGTTACTGGAGTCTTAGAATCGGCAACAAAACAATGGAGCTAAACTGTTGTTTTGAGTGGGTAGATGGATAAGCTGTTACCACATTTAGAATATTTTCCTTTTGTATATGAAATTGATTATTTGCAGTATACTTAGGTACAGCATACCCCTTAGAAATGTGGGGCTGGAAAGAGCTTTAGAAATTATCATCATATCCTTTCAGTTTACAGATATGGGAAACAAATGCTTAAAGTAGGGAAATTATTTACTCTAGGGCACATAGTCACTGGTAGGGAGAGCCAACACCAGAACCAGCATATTTTGAGAACATTCTGGTGGTACTGTGTTGTTGACAAGGAAGAAAGGACTTGGTTCATTGTCTTTTCTCAAAAGCTTTAATAATCTAGGTGTGAGGCCCAAGCTGGCAACATAAAATTATTTTAAGAGTATGTAACTCTGGGGGGCCGGGCGCAATGGCTTGTGCCTATAATCCCACTGCTTTGGGAGGCCAAGGTGGGTGAGCCATGACATCAAGAGATTGAAACCATCCTGGCCAACATGGTGAAACCCCGTCTCTACTAAAAAAAATGCAAAAATTAACTGGATGTGGTGGTGCACACCTGTAGTCCCAGCTACTCAGGAGGCTGAGGCAGGAGAATCGCTTGAACCCAGGAGGCAGAGGCAGTGAGCCAAGATCGTGCCACTGCACTACAGCCTGGCAACAGAGCAAGACTCCGTCTCAAAAAAAAAAACAGTATGTAACTCTGGGAACTGTAAATTTCATAATGTATCTTCCTCTTTTTAGAACAACAATTTGTAATCTTTACACAATGCCACGAATTGGAGAACCTGTCTGGCTTACAATGATGTCGGGGACTCCAGAAAAGAACCACCTTTGCCATCGTTTCATGAAGGAGTTCACTTTTCTAATGGAAAATGCTTCCAAAAATCAGTATGAATTTATTTATTTATTTATTTATTTATTTATTTATTTATTTACTTATTTATTATACTAGCTATCTAGATTGTAAGCAAACTCAATTACAGATGTGGAAGAACCATCCATTATCTTTGGAATTATATTATTAATCAAGATTAATAATCAGAATTCTAAAAGATAATTAAATGATAGGATATGGAAGAGTATCACAGAACCTTATAAATGAAAGCAGTGAAAATGTCTATAATTACGTAATTAAAATTCCTGACATAGAATTCTCTGAGGCTTTGCATATTTTGTGAGTTGTATCCATTTATAGTTTTATTTCATAGAAAAGAGGTAGAAAACATGTAAGGAAATGCTGGCATTCTAATGATGCGTTTTTGATGTGATGTTTTATCATATTGTTGTCTTTTAACTGTTCATCAAGTCTTTGGAATCCAGATGAGTAATTCAGATGTTTTTATTCTCTTTGATGGGAGACAGAGTTTGCTTAATACTTTGCTTCATTTTCCCATTCAGTGATTTAGAAATGTAGGGACATGCTAGTTGATTCAGTAATGAATTGTGTGATTAAAAACTGAAAAGAACCCATAATTTTTGAAGTAAAATGACATTTCTGTTTTGTACTAAGAACTGCAATAGCTCTTATGAATGTTACCTTTATTTCAAGTAGTTTTTAACTCCTAACCAGAAGCTATTAACTTTCATTTTAATCCTGGTGTTATATACTCATCCTTTCTCCTCTCCATTTTTTGGTGCCATTTGGCCACATGAGCATACTCTCCTTGCTTACTTTGTCACTACATTTTACCTAAGGTTTTGTGAAGGCAGATTGGAATCTGATCGGATGTATTTTGTTTTCAGATTCTTGCCAGCTCTCATTACTGCGGTTCTGACCAATCATCTTGCCTGGGTTCCAACAGTCATGCCAAATGGACAACCACCTATAAAAATATTTTTAGAAAAGCATTCCTCTCAGAGTGTGGACATGTTGGCAAAGACTCATCCATATAACCCACTTTGGGCACAATTGGGTATGTAATCTGAAAACCGTTATACTGTGTATTAGACATTTTTGTAGCTATCTGTAGTTATTTTATACCAAACCCAAAAATAAATAAAATGTTCTCTTTTACCTCCTGCATTCTAAAGTTTCTCTGCTTTGCTTGTCCTTTCATGCCTGCCAAATTGTCCTATCCTCATTTTAGACCTGAAATCATTCCTTATAAATGGAAAACTGCAGATACAGAGCAAGAGGAGCAGGCTGATAGCTGGTTTACTAGTAACTTCAGATCTTCAGGGTGATTTGTGATTTTGTACTTTCTGTTAGGTACTTCGCAAGAAAGAATTTATCAAAAAGTCACCTGTGATACCTAAAATCAATCTGGTTAGGAGGGAAGCAGTTCACTGAGGTTTCTGTGGATCCACTTTTGTTCACTTGCTAACTCATTTTGGAAAATGTTTCCCTTAGTGTTATGTACCACTAAACAGGTGGGGAACAGAGGGGAGAGTGAATGGTTGATAAGTTCATAGGTGATAGGAAGGCAGTGTAGCAGGGTGCTAAAGACACACGCTGTGGAGTCAGGCACACCACATTTGAATCACAGTTTCCTTATTTATAAAGTAAGAATAATAATAGATGATACATATGTTAAAAGTTGTAAAAATTAAATGAGGTAATACATGTAAAATGATTAGGACAGTATCTGGTAAACATAGCTGCTAATTACATGTGCTGTTACTCTATTTGCTGTTAAATGATAAGGGAAGAGTAAGAGGAGAACATTTTAGTGACTGCATAGTAACTTTCCTTAGGTTGCTTTGGTGATTGAGCTTGCCAGTTGGATTATCATATGACTTATCAATTCATATAACCAGTCTCCATCCCTATTGGCTTTCTCCCTTGCTCCTACCCCACTCTTCCATTTTATTGAGTTATAGTTGACATATAGTAAATGCATTTTTTAAATGGGGTCTCAGTCTTTCCCCCAGGCTGGAGTGTAGTGGCACAATCATGGCTGACTACAGCCTCAATCTCTCAGGGATCAGATGATCCCCCTACCTTAGTCACCCAAGTAGCTGGGACTACAAGTGTGTACCGCCGCACCAGGCTAGTTTTTGTATTTTCACCATGTTGCCTAGACTCGTCTCAAATTCTTAGACTTAAATGATGTGCTTACCTTGGCCTCCTAAAGTACACAATTTGGACCGGGTGCGGTGGCTCATGCCTGTAATCCTAGCACTTTGGGAGGCCAAGGCAGGTGGATCACTTAAGGTCAGGAGTTCGAAACCAGCCTGGCCAACATGGTGAAACCCTGCCTCTACTAAAAATACAAAACAATTAGACGAGCATATTGGTGGGCACCTGTAATCTCAGCTACTCAGGACCTGAGGCAGGAAAATCACTTGAACCCAGAGGCAAAGGTTGCAGTGAGCTGAGATCTTGACACTGCACTACAGCCTGGACGACAGAGCAAGAATGTGTCTCAAAATAAATAAATAAATAATATAAAATACACAATTTGATAAGTTTTGGCGTGTGTGTGTGTGTCTGTGTGTATGCCTCTAAAACCATCACCACTCAAAATGGTAATCATATTGCATCACTTCCAAACGTTTCCTTATACCTTTTTTGTAGTCTCTTCCTCCTCCATCTTCTCCCTCTCCCCAACTTCCCAGTTCCTCTTCCACCATCCCTAGGCAGCCACTGGCCTACTTTCTATCATGGTAGATTTGTTGCATTTTCTAGAGTTGTATACAAATGGAATCATACAGTATGTATTTTGTCTGACTTCTTTCATTCAATGTAATTCAAATTCGCCTATTTTGTATGTATTAATACTTCATTCCTTTTTAATGCTGAGTAGTATTCCATTGCATGTACCTATTTATTTATTTATTTAGAGATGGGATTTCGCTCTTGTTGCCCAGGCTGGAGTGTAATGGCGCTATCTCGGCACACTGCAACCTTCACCTCCCTGTTTTGAGCAATTATCCTGCCTTGGCCTCCCGAGTAGCTGGGATTATAGGCATGCACCACCACACCTGGCTAATTTTTTTGTATTTTTAGTAGAGATGGGGTTTCTCCATGTTGGTCAGACTGGTCTCGAACTCCCGACTTCAAATGATCTGCCCACCTCAACCTCCCAAAGTGCTCAGATTATAGGCGTGAGCTATGGTGCCTGGCCTGCATGGACCTTTTTAAAATCAGATTATTAGTAGTATTTTTTAAATTGGGACATTTAAGTCCTTTTTAAATTCTACAATCATTTGTTGACTGCCTAAGGCTCTGTGCAAAAAGCACAGCGGATATAAAGATGAATAATTTGGAAATTATCCTCAAGAAGTCAACAGTCTGAGACTATAGGTAATATATATGCAGACAACAATGATAATTCAAGGGGGAACTATAAGAGAAATGAAAAGTTTATTTAATAGGAGTGCAATAGGGGAGCCTACTTTTGCCTAAGTGAGGATGCTTAGGTGGGAAGCTATGGACTGGCAGAGATACTAAGGAAAGGGACATGAGTAAAAAGTCAAGGTGTTAAAAGTGCAGAGTATATTCAATGGTCCAGTTTAGCTGGGGCTTTGCATGAATAAAGATTATTTCTTTTTATGACTGCCAAAAAGGAGGATGAGTATAAGAAGATAGAGCTGGAAAAGTAAACTGGGAATCATGAAAGACTCACTGCATGCCAAAGCAATTTCAACTTACTTGGTAATTCGTGGGAATTGTGGGAGTAGTTTAGACCAGTGGCATGGTGATATTTGAGCCAAGTGTTAACCAGAGGAGAAAATTTATCATGATAATATTTATAGCATATATTTATTTGAGACCTATTTATATTTGTTCCTTTAAAAAATGCGAGGGTTTTGTAAAGTAAAAATAGAGGTTTTTAAATGTGTATACTGAAAATTTGCAAAAGTTGAATTTAAGTTGAAATTAATGGCTTTGTAGTCTCCGTTTTTTTTGTTTTTTTTTTTTCTTGAGACAGGGTCTCACTTTATCGCCCAGGTTGAAGTGCAGTGGTGTGATCATGGCTCGCTGCAGCCTCAACTTCCTGGGCTCAAGTGATTCTTCCACCTCAGCCTTTCAGGTAGCTGGAATTTCATGCATGCACCACCATGCCCAGCTACTTCTTTGTATTTTTTTGTAGAGATAGGGTTTTGCCATATTGCCCAGGCTGGTCTTGAACTCCTGGGCTCAAGTGATCAGCCCACTTCCACCCCCGAAAATGCTGGGATTACATGTGTGAGCCACCATGCCCAGCCCTATTCTCCATTGTTTTGGCACTGAAATTACGGGTTTGATTTGAATGATAGCATAAATACAGAAAGGATACTGATAATTTCTAGTCCTGTCCCCCTCACCTCCCCTGCTTTTAACATAATGGCTGGTCATATTTAGAATGGATTCAAAAGTGAAAATGAACTGCATGGCTAAACTTGTTGCCCTTTCTTTTTCTTTTAGTAAACATGAGTCTCTCTCTTTCTGTCCTTCCTGGCCTATCCTGAGTACCCAACCCTTTATGGAATGGAAGGGTAAAATAGGCTTATACTAACATGGGAGCTGGTGGCGTGGGGTGCTGGCTAAGGGAACAACAGTTAAAGTGTGGAGATATGACATTTAAAAAAATTTTTTTTGAGATGGAGTCTCACTGTTGTCACCCAGGCCAGAGTGCAGTGGTGCGATATTGGCTCACTGCACCCTCTGCCTCCCAGGTTTAAGCAGTTCTCCTGCCTCAGCTTCCCAAGTAGCTGGGACTACAGGCACCCGCCACTACGCTGGGCTGATTTTTGTATTTTTAGTAGAGACAGGGTTTTTTTTTACCATGTTGGCCAGGCTGGTCTTGAACTCCTGACCTCAAGTGATCCACCCCTCTCAGCCTCCCAGAATGCTGGGATTACAGACATGCAATCCGTGCCTAGCCCCAGAGATATGATTTAAATCAGGAATGATTAGGTGTGTGGTGTGACTACTCTAGCTTTGCTCCATTTTACCGCTACTCCTTTCTTCTCCTTACAAGCCAGCAGAGATTGTGCTTTGTCTTTTCTTGAATGGACACAGCTACAGAATCCTTGTGTACATAGTACTTCAGGCAGTACTTCTCTAACCAGGTAAAAATGCTCTGCATGGAGCCTGGCTTAGAGAATATTCTTGGGATATCTGAGTTTCAGAACTATTTGCTTAAGGTTCCTGAACCATAGCCTTTGTTTAAGGAGGAAATCAGAAAACCCTTAAATTCACCTTTCTCTCTGGTTAAGATTTTTCATCTCATCTTCCCCACCTTGAATAGTCACTCATCTGTTAAAGAACTAAGAGTAAGGGAAGGCGTGGTGGCTCATGCCTATAATTCCAGCACTTCGGGAGGCCAAGGCCAGAGGATCGCTTGAGCCCAGGAGCTCAAGACCAGCCTGGGAAACATGGCAAAACTTTGTGTCTACCAAAAAAATATGAAAAAGTAGTCAGGTATGGTGGCATGCACCTATAGTACCAGCTACTCAGGAGGCTGAGGTAGGAGGATCACCTGAGCCTAGGAGGCCGAGGCTGCAGTGGGCCATGATTGTACCATTGCACTGCAGCCAGGATGACAGCATGAGACCCTGTCTCCAAAAAGAAAAGAACAACAGTAAAACCTAAACTACTATTCATATAGTAACAGTAGGTTTCTGATCATTAAAAACAGCCTACTTAGCTGTGTCAGTAAAGAATGTGCTTAATAACTGAGTTTTTTTTCATTACAGGAGACTTGTACGGTGCTATTGGCTCTCCTGTACGGTTAGCAAGGACTGTGGTGGTTGGCAAACGACAAGACATGGTCCAGAGGCTACTTTATTTTCTTACTTATTTTATAAGATGCTCTGAACTTCAAGAAACACATCTTTTAGAAAATGGAGAAGATGAAGCCATTGTTATGCCAGGCACAGTTATTACTACCACTTTAGAGAAAGGTGAAATAGAAGAATCGGAGTATGTCCTTGTCACAATGCATAGAAACAAAAGCAGTTTGCTCTTTAAAGAATCAGAAGAAGTAAGAACTCCTAATTGTAACTGTAAATATTGCAGTCGTCCACTCCTTGGGCAAAATGTAGAGAACATTTCTCAACAAGAGAGAGAAGATATTCAAAACAGCTCTAAGGAGCTTTTAGGAATTTCAGATGAGTGCCAGATGATTTCTCCTTCTAACTGCCAAGAAGAAAATGCTGTTGATGTTAAACAGTACAGAGATAAATTAAGAACTTGCCTTGACACCAAGTTAGAGGCAGTTGTTTGCACAGGATCTGTTCCAGTAGACAAATGTTCATTGTCAGAGTCAGGCTTAGAGCCAACAGAGGAAACATGGCAGAGTGAGAAGTTGCTGGATTCAGATAGTCACACAAGCAAAGCAATGAGATCCACAGGAATGGTTGTGGAAAAAAAACCTCCAGATAAGATTGTGTCTGCTTCATTTTCTTGTGAGGCTGCCCCTACAAAGGTTACTTTCCTGATTGGGGATTCTATGTCACCTGATTCAGATACTGAGCTTCGAAGTCAGGCAGTGGTGGATCAGATTACCAGGCATCACACCAAACCACTGAAGGAAGAAAGAGGGGCTATTGATCAGCATCAAGAAACTAAACAAACAACTAAGGACCAATCTGGAGAGTCTGATACACAGAACATGGTTTCTGAAGAGCCCTGCGAACTTCCCTGTTGGAATCATTCAGACCCAGAAAGCATGAGCTTATTTGATGAATATTTTAATGATGATTCAATTGAAACCAGGACTATTGATGATGTTCCCGTTAAAACAAGTACAGATAGTAAAGACCATTGCTGTATGTTAGAGTTTTCAAAAATATTGTGTACAAAAAATAACAAACAGAACAATGAATTTTGTAAATGTATACAAGCAGTTCCCCAAGATTCATGTAAAACCTGCTTTCCTCAGCAGGACCAAAGAGATACACTCTCCATTCTTGTCCCCCATGGGGATAAAGAGAGTTCAGACAAAAAAATTGCTGTAGGAACTGAATGGGACATTCCAAGAAATGAAAGTTCAGATAGTGCCCTTGGGGATAGTGAAAGTGAAGATACAGGTCATGATATGACTAGACAAGTTAGCAGTTATTATGGAGGAGAGCAAGAAGACTGGGCAGAAGAGGATGAAATACCGTTTCCTGGGTAAGTAGGAAGTTTTCACCTATAATGGGCCCTATGTAAATATGTACCATTCTTTTGTTTAGTATTCTCTGAAGGTTGGTATAAAAGAAGAGATCATTGTCCTAGATAGATCTCTCTTATTTTCATATTCTCTTAACTCATAAAAAGGATTAAAGCCTGAGCTCCAGAAACACCTCAGAAAGGTTTTATGAAGACCTCAGAGAAAAGTTAAAGGATCTGGTTACGATTTCTTACTGCTTAGAAGGCTTCAAGCCATTTAGGAGTGAATTATGCCCCACAAAAGGACATATTGCTGAGCATGGCAGTTAGGGAGCACTAATCCCTGAGATGTTAGAATGGCTGTTAGAAATATATTTGGCCAAGACTAAGAAGAAAACAGAGAATGTATATTTTCAGTCAAGTATGTAAGAAGATTCATGCTTGAGAAATGTTACATACCCACCTTTGGACTTGTGAAGCATTTAATTACTTTGTTTTAGATGATTGTATTAAGAATGTGTTACAAACATAGGAAACAGCTCTCTTAAAGTCTGTTACAAAAGATTAATTCTCACTTCATTACTGAGTTGCTCCCCAGACCTCCTCTTGATAAGAAGTGTTTTATTTTCTGATAGAGCACTTGAGCCAGTTTTTAAATAAGGATGATTTTACTATTATTACCAGTTACTCTTGATTTTTACCATTACCATTATATAAGGATGATTTTACTCTTTGTATTAATACAGACTAGTATAAAATATGGACTAGTAGAGTTCACAATTCTTTTTTTAAATGGTTAAATATATTTATTATTAATTAGATGTCTTTTGGGGGCATTTTGCTTCCAGGTCGAAGTTAATTGAAGTGAGTGCTGTTCAGCCCAACATTGCCAATTTTGGGAGGTCCTTGCTGGGTGGCTACTGCTCATCTTATGTGCCTGACTTTGTTCTTCAAGGAATTGGAAGTGATGAGAGGTTCCGTCAGTGTCTGATGTCAGATTTGTCTCATGCTGTGCAGGTGAGTGACCTTCACTGTTCTTGAGTTTATTTAGAACAAACTCTCTTAACCAGCAGAACCCAAAATTGCCTTATATTTTTGGTCATACTTTTACAACACAATCCTTGTCCTCTGATTCCATTACTTTATATTCAGTGCCCGTTATGTATTCATGGATGTCCATCAACTTAGGTTATTTACAGTATCAAAAATTTACAAATGCTTAAGTTTGAATGGAATTATTTTCTTAATTTCCGTTTCAGATTGTTCATTGTTTCCATATAGAAGTGGGGTTGGCTTTTGCATATTGATCTTCTGAACTCATATTAATCTTTTCAGTTTTTTATATAGATTCCCTAAGGTTTCCTACATAAAGGCTCATGTTATCAGTGAACAGATAGTTTTAAATCTTTCTTAACAATCTGAATGCCTTCGTCCCCCCGCCCCCAACTTTTTTTTTTTTTTTTTATTCATTGCACTGGCTAGAACTTTCAATAGAATGTTGCATGGAAATGGTGACCATGGACATCATTGCCTTATTCATGATCTTAGGAGAAGACGTTGCATCTTTTATGATTAAGTGTGATGTTAGCTGTAAGGTTCTTGTGATGCTCTTTATTAGATGGATGAACCCTATTTATTTATTTATTTATTTATTTTTGAGATGGTGTTTCACTCTTGTTGTACAGGCTGGCATGCAATGGCGCAATCTCAGCTCACCGCAACCTCTGCCTCCTGGGTTCAAGTGATTCTCCTGCCTCAGCCTCCCGAGTAGCTGGGATTACAGGCATGTGCCATGTGCCACCACACCTGGCTAATTTTGAATTATTTTGTATTTTTAGTAGAGACAGAGTTTCTCCATGTTGGTCAGGCTGGTCTTAAACTTCCGATCTCAGGTGATCCTTCTGCCTTGACCTCCCAAAGTGCTGGGATTACAGGTGTCAGCCCCCGTGCCCAGCCCCCTTTAGATTTTTATTATTTTTTTAACCCAATGCTTCTTTTAGAGACAGGCAGTTCCCTTTTATTCCTAGCTTTTAGACCAGGGTGGGGTTCCATCCTTTATTCATGAGTGAATGTGGGCTTTTGGTCATATGCTTTTTCTGAATGTCTATTGAGATGGTATTGTCGTATGATTTTTCATCTTCAAATTATTAATGTCATGGATTTCATTGATTGATTTTTAGACATGAAGCCAACCATTGTATTCCTGGGAAGCAATCCCACTCTGTCATGGTATATAATTTTTTTAATATGGATTTGATTTACTAATATTTTGTTGGGGATATTTGAGTCTATATTCGTGAGAAATGTTGCTCTTTTGTTTTCTTATGATGTCTTTGTCTAGCTTTGATATCAGGGTAACACTGGCCTTATAGAGTGAGTTGGGAAGTATGTCCATCTCTATTTTCTGGAAGAGTTTCTAGAAGATTAGTACTGTTTTTATTCTCTGAATGTTTGGTAGAATTCACTAGTAAAAACATCTGCATCCAGGCTTTTAAAAATAAGAATATTTTAAATTGCTGATTTAATTTCTTCACCTTTTATACATTTAGATTTTCTAGCTCTTCCTGAGTCAATTTTGGTAATTTTTGTCTTGTAGGAATTTATTAGTTTCATTTAAGTGGTCTAATTTGTTGAAATAAAGTTGTTTATAGTATAAACTTATAATCCTTTTAATTTCTATAAGGTCGCTAGTAATGTCCCCTCTTCTATTTCTGAATTTTATAATTTTGTGTGTGTGTGTGTGTGTGTGTGTGTGTGTGTGTTTCAAAAGGTGGGGGCTTCTCCACAAAGAGGTTCATTTGTGGTTTAACTTAAATTGTATATATTTTTTTGCCCATATGCATCAAGGATTAATAAGCTATGGACAGTGGGCCAAAGAGTCCTGATTTTTATAGATAAAGTTTTATTAGAACACAACCACAGTTATTCATTTATATACTGTCTGGCTATGTTCATGCCTAACAGCACAGAGTTGAATCATTGAGACAGAGACCTTTCAGTCCCCAGACCATAAAATACTTTCTGTTGGTTTTTTGCTGCTGCTTCTTTTTCTTGAGACAGAGTCTCACTCTGTCACCCAGGCTGGAATGCAGTGGCGTGATCTCAGCTCACTGCAACCTCCACCTACCGGGCTCAAACGATTCTCCTGCCTCAGCCCCCCAAGTGGTTGGGATTATATGCGTGTGTCACCACGCCTGATTAATTTTTTGTATTTTTAGTAGGGATGGGGTTTCACTGTGTTAGCCAGAATGGTCTCCTGACTTCATGATCTGCCCTCCTTCGCCTCCCAAAGTGCTGGGATTACAGGCATGAGCCACCACACCTGCCCCCTTTGTTTTTTCTTCTTGAGACAGAGTCTTGCTCTGTCACCCAGGCTGGATGGAATGCAGTGGCTCGAGCTAGACTCGCTGTAACTTCTGCCTCCCAGGCTTAAGCAATTCTCTTGCCTCTGCCTCCACCTCCTGAACAGCTGGGATTACAGGCACCCACCACCACACCTGGCTAATTTTTGTATTTTCAGTAGAGACAGGGTTTCACCATATTGGCCAGGCTAGTCTCGAACTCCTGACCTCGGGTGATCCACCACCTCGAGCTTCCAAAGTGCTGAGATTACAGGCGTGAGACTCCATCCAGCCGAATCTGACAAATTTTGATCTGTTGTGTTTTCAGTCTCATTCATTTCAAAATGTTATTAAATTTTACTTGTAATTTCTTTGACTTGTGAGTTATTTGGAAGTATGCTATTTAATTTACAAATATGTATGGAATTCTTAAAAATTGTTTTGTTGGTTTCTAGTTTAATTCTATTATGGTTGGAAAACATACATTGTTCAACCCTTTTAAATTTATTGAGAATTGTTTTATGGCACTTGAAAAAAATAAATATTCTGCTCTTGTTGAGATGTTCTGTAACTATCAGGTCAAGTTAGATAACCATTATATAATAGCCTTATATAAGTATTTTATGTCCTTGCTGATTTTTGGTTTGGTTCTGCCATCAATTACTGAGAGTGAAATATTGAAGTCTCCAACTATTGTTTTGTTGGGTTTTCTGTTTCTCCCCTCAGTTGTACGTATCAGTTTAATATTTTGCTTTAATAACAAAATCTGGCCACCTCTAAATTTAAAAAGTTAAAAAAGAAATGGAGAGGGCAGACATGGTGACTCAGGCCTATAATTCCAGCACTTTGGGAGGCTGAGGTGGGTGGGTTACTTGAAGTCTGGAGTTTGTGAGCAGCCTGGCCAACATGGTGAAACCCCACCTCTACAAAAATACAAACATTATGTGAGCATGGTGGCGTGTGCCTGTAATCCCAGCTGCTGGGGAGGCTGAGGCATGAGAATCGCTTGAATCTGGGAGGTAGAGGTTGCAGTGAGCCTAGATCACGCCACTGCACTCCAGCATGGGCAACAGAACAAGACTCACATCTCAACCAAAAAAAAAAAAAAAAAAAAAAAAGAAAAGCGATGAAGAAAGCCAAGTGGGAAATTATGGATGAGGAAATGTGGCTCAGTGAGCAACAGTCAGTTGTTAGCCAATAAGGTTTAACCTGTGTCTGTAGAAAGTTAGCTAAGTTGTGAAGTTTGGTGTTTTATTAGATAGTAGAGGAATTATGGCAAATCTAGATAAAGTTTGTGAAAAAAATTCATCAGAACGTATGATCTCATATTTAAAGGCTAGTTTGCTCAGCTTTTGAATACCAATCAAATCAATATTTCCTGACCTACTGTGTTCTGAATATAGTGCCAATACTCCAAGGGATATATGTCTGAAAAAGAAAAAGTTTCTAACTTCAAGTTTTTTACTTAGCAACAGAGAAAATAGGCCAAGTGCATGAATAAATGTAGTACAAAACATAACAAAAGTAGTGCTTGAGAAAGGTACTTGAATGTATTATTGCTTGAAAGGACAGAATTTTTATTATTTGGTGGTATGGATGCCCTTCAGCGTAAAGGAACCGTTTCTAGTTTTTCCAATGCTTCCCTCCCAATGCCTAACGTAGTGCCTACTATTTGTTGAATTACTTGGTTAAGGAATTGTACATGAGTTATTCTAATGCACTCTGTGTACTCTTGTCTTTATGTCTTATCCTAGTTGCTTAGTCTCTTTTCTTTTTTCATCTGTACCTGTCACCAAACATAGTGTCTTTTGACTTTTACTCTGTGAAAGCTTGGCGTTGGAAAGGCTTGCTGCCTCCTGTTGAAGATAAAGATAACATTTTGATTTTAAGGGTTTCTACCTGCTAATTATTATAGGATGAATAATAATAATAATAGCATTTAGTATTTATTGTTGTTTTACTGTGTCCCAGGCACTTAAATGTGCTATTTCACTTAATCTTATAATAATCCTTTGAGATACTTATTATTGTTATCTCTGTGTTTCAGATATGGCTCAGAGAAGTTTTTAAGTTACATAGATAGGGAAAGGCAAAAACTAGAATTCAATTCTTACCTGCCTGATCTTAAGCTATGTTCTTAAGCTATTATGCCATGCTGTTACTAAAACAGATGAACAAAGAGTAATACAAATAGCAAAATCACCATTACAAAGTTTATAAGACTTTTATATTAGTGGTCCCAGGTCTGTTACTCTTAGATTCTTTCCAAGAGTAAAAGAAGGAACTATTTGTCTTTCCCCCTCTGTTTTAGTAATTGGGTTTCTAGTCTTTCCCTCTCATATTTTCATTTAGTCATGTAAGTATATTATCAAAACACTGTTATAGAAAAATTTGACAAAAAGGAAAATAACGAACTTCAGTCTCACCACTGACAGGTTGTTGAATTTTTTTATCAATCATTTTAAAGCATGTATAGGATTCCTTTTCTTTTCTTTTCTTTTCTTCTTTTCTTTTCTTTTCTTTTTTTTTTTTTTGGAGACGGAGTTTCACTCTGTCACCAGACTGGAGTGCAGTGGCACAATCTCGGCTCACTGCAACCTCTGATTCCCTGGTTCAGACTATACTCTTGCCTCAGCCTACCGAGTAGCTGGGATTATAGGCACCCACCACCACGCC